TAACCTTACCAATGGTTGCTGTGAATTATTCCTCTGTTAATCTGACCCATTCACAAAAGGACGTGCGGAGGCAGAGGGGGGCCTAGAGCCCCCACCAAAGAATGACTGTCACAACAATATATATATATAATGATTGCAATCTTTTGAACTCTAGCAACACAGATAAGGTTTAAAAATAGATTTTAGAATATCCAAGTTTCTTTTTTGGCAAAAAAATTACTTTTATCTAAAAATATTCATTGTTTTTTCTCATTTAAAATTACAAATGTAATCTTGTAAATGTTGTGTTTTGTCTGAATATGTACCCCCCTCCCTGGCTCCATAATATAACATTTAATGACCCCCAATGCCTCCCCCCAGCTGTATATCTCATATTATTTTCCTCTCCTGTTCTGATGGAGCTGTAGCTGTGTCTCTCACATCTGGATTAATAATATAGAACCTTCACACATTTTTTTTTTTTTAAAAGTGTGGATTATTCCAAGTACCTTTTTTAAAACCAACAATTGAGTGTCACCTTACACTGGTGCTATAGTCCGAGTTAGTAAAAACTGCTCGTTAATTTAAATTGTTCGGTTTATACTGTCAGTAGAATAATTTCAACCTATTACTGGTGAAATTGCCATTCATTAGTCAGTCTGTTAATGATACCCATGTTCTTTTTTAAATTTAGAATGCCAAAAACGGAAGTACAAATTGTACTTGGAGCCTCACAGTACAATCAACGCTGAGCTAAACTGAAAAGTGGACATTTTGATGTAAGTTAATTCATGATATTTTTGTGTTAAACCTTTCAAAGTATCAATTCTGTAATTATTATTTTTCATTCTTACCTGGTGATGTCATTTTAAGGTGGCAGATGACTTCAAAAACAAATCAGGTTCACACGTTGCAGATGTTGAGGTGAGCGAGGATTATGCTGTTTCAATTTATGTAAGACATTATTTCGGACTGGACAAAACCACGTTTTCGTTATCCTGTGCAGACCATGCAGGGCTCAATGCTAACTTTTAAAAGTGGTTGCCAGGCTGGCAACCGGGCATCAGCTTTTGGTTGCCAAAACTGAAAATACGGTTGCCATTTTTAGTCACCTTGTATTTTAAATAATTAAGATACTATACAGTTATATATCAACTTAATAATGAACATGTGACACAAAAGAATGTTCAAAGGCTTTACAATAAGTAATTAACACAATTATTTTAAACCTAAGTGGTAGTAAACTTGTCCCTCAATTGCTGGTATACAAAATACCAGTAGTGCAGCTGTTGTCATGTTCTTCACAGATCCCTCACAAATGAATTGAGCAAGTCACTAGTTTCTTGGTCATCCGTTGTCTTCCTTTCAAATGTGGGTTTTCTTGACCTTTGTGCTGACCCCCACCATAGATCCATTGGCCCTTCAGCATTGAAGTATTGGATTGGCCAGACTAATACATTTCTAATGTTAAATAAATGAAAACCATTCAGAGCTAAGAATTAGATATTAATTATTAATGCTGTAAATCACCTTTAATATGTCTAACTATATTTAAAATGTGTTACCTTTGTATAGAAGTGATTATCATTTTATGCCAATATTTAAATGGTAAAGTTTCGTTTTGCACTTTTATTTTGGTAGTAATAAGATCGGGACTCTTATTTTGAAGGAACTTTTACCAGAAGTGAATGGACAACATTCCTCTTTGCTTTTCGTCCGGGTTCATCTTGCGCTTTATCAGTTGGCCGAACCTTTTACCCACAGTCAAACAACTTAATTTGCTTCGCCATTTTTTGTAAAATAAACACACACGAGTAAACGTGCATCGCTTTATGGCTCCGTAATCACACCAATGCACGTGCAACTTAAGTATCAGGTTCCGACTGGTCACAACAATAATTAAATATCACTCTTAATACAACAAATAATTAACATTTATCTATTTTGGGGTGCACATTTTGCTGTTAGCTGTCCTTATTTCTTTATGTTAAAAACTGGTTGCCACTGATGGCCAAGAAGTGGTTGAAATGTTTTCTGAATGGTTGCCAATGGCAACCTGGCAACCGTTACTGTCGAGCCCTGCCATGTACAAGTTATGTCTCAAATGTTGAGATAAATGCAATCACAATTCCCTTTGTGCTTTGGGTTGTCATACATTTCTGTATTCACTCACATTGTATGCAGAACCTGCATTCTTAAATACATGTTTTCTGATGTTTTTTTTCATTGCCCAGCAGATGGATTGGGATTCCCCATTTGAAGGCACTGTTTTTCTGAAGTCCTTAATATAAGACGTTGGAACGATTTTTTTAACTCCGTCGTCCAAGTATTTAACGTAGGCAAACATTTTTGCTTAATTGATCGTTTGATGTGGTTGCCGTGTGGGTCATCCAGAGCTCTATAATAGAAATTCTACATAAAGAAGCAGGTAGATTACAAAGAAATGCATTTGATGCTCCCAGTTATTTGCATTATCCATCCTATTATATTGTTGTTTTTTTCCACATTTAGGTGCCACCCCACTCACGTTCCTTGCTCGCCTACACCAAGATCTGGACAACCCAGGTGGACTTGGGGCCTTTAGCATTGCCGGAGAGGAGGAGAGGATCAGGAGGGGACACGGAATTCTGGAGCGCCCCCGAGAAGAGATGTGGGCCAGATTTGTCAGAGATGTAAATACATCCCTTCTTACTTTTAATTTCAATATTTGTTTTCCTTGAACTGAAAAATGTATAATATGTCATTCCAGGTCCTCAAACATTACATCTGCATGTCTGCGGATAGCAGTTAATGGATCAGCACCAGAGTATAATACAACAGTAACTGATTGCATTTTATCGAAGTGCTTTGTTTTCAGGGTAGATTTACTTTACCTGAGGGTGTCCATTTCTGGCTATTTCTGACAACTACTTCTGAGTAAAATATTGTACTATTTAGTATGCAGAACCTGCATTCTTAATGCCGCTAACGCGAGCTTGCAGCTAACGCTAGCATGCCTCGAACATTAGCTTGTTTAACTCAGCGGCCAAGTATTTTGCTTGCCGCTGACTAGCTAAATGGTTCTTCAACTAGCAATTGCTAGTTGGAGAACCATTACCTTAACGCTACCATTTTAGCCAAAACTCATAACAAATGTAACTAGCATATCTTAGTTGGTCATTTAGGCAAACGTTTTTTTCTGTGCAAAATGAATATTGCCATACAGGAATGAAAAGTCAATAAATAAACATGTTGTTAAAACTCACACGTTTTTGTTGTTTTGTTGAAAAATGCATTATAGCATTGCAAGAATATAAGCTTTCTATATGCTATTACTCCTTATTTGAACCGTATATCATTGCAATTCTTTCAAAGAAATTCTACATTTATCAGAATTTTAACTCTTTAAATGTTTGTTTACGTAATGCCATTGCTTGTGGGGTATTTTTTCTTTATGGAATAGATCAATGATTCGCAAAAACAAAATGCATTTGTATTTGTAAAGATAAACATGAGAAATTGCTATATATGGTCGAAAATAGTAAAAAGCTACATTTTGAAGTCAATGTCATAATTATTTTATGCTGCAAGATAGATCTAATATTGTGTTTTTTAACAGGGTAATCTTTTGGGTGTGAGTGAATACATGTATTTAATATAGAGATTCTATACATTTGCAGTTATTTATGTTCTGTAAATGTATATAAACTGAAATATTGGTATGTTTTTGTATTTCATGCCATCTTAATAATAATAGATTTTTTTTTTCATACCATGTTACAGCATGGACCAGCATGAAGTTCATGGTGGTCCATGCTGGTATAACGGTTTTTGGCACCGGCAGACCAGCATAATGACCAGCAGTCCATGCTGGTCCATGCTGGTCCATGCTGGTCCAAGCTGGTCCATGCTGGTCATTATGCTGGTAGACCAGCATGGACCAGCTTGGACCAGCTTGAAGTCCATGCTGGTCGAAGCTGGTTTTTTCAGCAGGGTCAGGGGTCATTTAGATGCTTCTTATGAGACTTGTGTTTTGTTTTGGTAAAAATGGTTTGTATCATCAGTTAGCTGAGATTATTGGTATAACACATTAATAGGTTCTTAAATATGAAGATACCCTGAGACACAGTGTCGTGAAAAAAAAAAGTAAAGTACCCGCCGGGATTTTGGGGCTTAACAGGTTAAAAAACCCGCAATATATACCGCAGGGGGAAAAATCGCGATGTCAGTTTTTTTCAATATCGTGCAGCCCTAACACACACACACACACACACACACACACACACACACACGTCAAAACGGCGTTACACTACGGAAGAAGCCGTAGAATTTATTTTGTCTGGCGGACCGCTTAGCGATGCAGCGGTGGATTCCTCAGATTCTGAAGCTGACAGCTGGCAATGAAGAGGAGTATGATCACGGGATTGATCCCTTCGAAGATAAAAAGTGAGTAACTTTGCTTATTTCTTATTGTTTGTGTTGCATTTATCGGTTGCTATTTCTGTATAACGCCGAAAATAATTAGTCCCAAGAGTTTTTATAATGGATGGCCATTTGCCGTAATTGTGTCATAAAGTGAAGTCCTGGGGCCTCATTTATAAAGGGATATATGCTCAAAAAATGGCGTACGCCAGTTTCTACGCAATGTTTGCGATTTATAAAATACTAACTTGATGGGAAAATGTGCGGTCCTCCACGCAAACTCTAACCCATGCGTACGCACTAAGCACAAACACGGGAGGGACGAGAAACTGCGACACCGTTGGCAGAAGGAAGAATGGAGAGAAATATGTGGAAATAATACCATAAATAAAATGTTACCTCTCATTTATCATATATGAAGAATTCATTTTCAAACATTGATTAAAGCCAATCTTAAAATGATTAAACAAACGCCTGTTTGCGACTCCTCAGTGCACACAAAAACATAACTTGGAGAAATAAATAAATACGGATATGTTATTTAAAACCACCTCGAATATGTTGTGTTAATGTTATGAAATGTTTATTTTAAAAATGTATTTATTATCATTTTGCACAAAGATGGCACTGTTTGTCAGAGCACTTCATCCTTCTGGGTTTCATGAAGAACAGCTCCAATGCCTGGGAGTATGGGAACGCCTCTGGTGCTGGTCCATTAACTGCTATCCGCAGACATGCAGCCAGGTGCTCCCCTTTCAGTCGGTTTCTCAGGTCAGTTTTCACCTATAAAACAGACAGTTTGTTTTAAATGAACTATACAGAAATGACATGCAAAACACTTAACCCTGTTCATCGTTGAGAAATCCCTCTCGCAGTTTACACTGGAGACAGGGATGACCAGCCCCACTGAAGATAGAAGGCAGAGGTTTGGGTATATTTCTGCCCATTCGTCCTTCTCACTGGCCAGGAGCTGCATGATCTCAGCTTGTGTCTTGTCCTTCAGAGATTAGCCAAGGCAGGGCAAATGAGCATATAGTATAATTTAAACATTTACAGATGTCAAAAACAAGCAATTCTAACCGTCAAGACAGATGAGAGTTCATATTAATTCAGGTAATTTACCAACCTTAAATGCCCCTACGAGAACATGCTGCTTGTACGAGGTCCACTCTTGAATAACTGTGGCATCCTGCCCTGGGATGAATTTGTTGGTAAGGGTCTGCAACATTGAAATGTTGGTTACATCATTTGAGTTAACTGCCTTTGGACCCAGGACACTGAAGGCCCCCAGCAATTCAATATGCTGGAACCTCCTCTCAATGTTGCTCTCCAGGCTGCAGATGTAAGGTTTGAGGACCTGGAATGATATATTATACATTTTTCAGTTCAAGAAAAAAAAAAATTGAAATTAAAAGTAAGAAGGGATGTATTTACATCTCTGACAAATCTGGCCCACATCTTTTCTCGGGGGCGCTCCAGAATTCCGTGTCCCCTCCTGATCCTCTCCTCCTCTCCGGCAATGCTAAAGGCCCCAAGTCCACCTGGGTTTTCCAGGTCTTGGTGTAGGCGAGCAAGGAACGTTCCGGGGAGTGGGGTCTCGCCTGCTCAGAATGCTCCCCAGAGTAACAAGTGTGACTGGCACCTAAATGTGGAAAAATACAACAATATAATAGGATGGATAATGCAAATAACTGGGGGCATCAAATGCATTTCTTTATAATCTACCTGCTCCTTTATGTGGAGAAAATTCACATCAGCTCTCTGAAACACCTTAGACAGCATTGCTATGTGGGGCAGCACATCTGCCTGAAGGTAGAGGGCAGCCACAAAGCGGTATGTGGCACAGAAGGTGTATAGACCTTTGGCCACTGAACACTTCCTTGTGCTCGCTTCTTCTGCCAGAGCAGCCAGCACAGCTGGAAGGTTCCTCTGGAGGTTTTGAACGGCTAGGTCCTGCGATAGCCACCTTGTATCTTTCACCTCCTAACAACAAGTAGAAACACTGGTAAGTAAATAAATAATATGACGCCACAATAGTATTATGAAAATTGGTGAAAACACACCTTAACTTTCAAGTCGTTCATACCAAGAGTGGTAGCGGCAGATCTCAGTGTGGCTGACCTATTTGCACTATTTCTGAAGAATAGGTGCAGTTCCTGCAGGTGGTTCCTGAAGTTTGCCATATATCTGACAGCATTTGAGGCATCTTTGCATGCCAGTGCTAGTCTTTGAGCAGCACACACTACAGAAACCAGCTTTGGAAAACTGTCTGTGAGCTGCTTTGCCACTCCATTCAGACGGCCTAGGTTTAAGAATTAAATGTAGTGTTGAGGGCGTCATTTTGTTTCCTTTAATAACAGCTGACAATACAAATTTCACACAATCCATTAGATTTAACAATAAACTCCATACCCGTCATCACCGCTGCACCGTCTGTCCCGAGTCCATAGAGCCTGTCTACCGGGAGCTCCTTCTTCTGTAGTACACTCTTGATGGCAGCCACCACGCTGTCAGCTTTCCCATCTTCCAGAGTTACCAGGTCAAGGAAGTGGTTGAAAACACAACCCTCTTTATCCAGGTGTCTAAAATAAAATTAATAGGTTTTCACATATATTAATAAGTATTAAGTTTAACTAGGCCTACATCTTTATTTAAATGCGCATCATTCCTTTAAAAAAAGACCCCACCTAACATGTAAATCCAGCTGGCGGCTTATAGATACATCTGTCGTTTCATCAACCTCTAGGCTGATTGCTTGAGATGACCTTATCTCTTGCAAAATAGGCAACTCTACTATCTGTGCAAGGATCTCCAGCATTTCATCCACTATTCTGTGTGATTGGTAATTGTTTCTTTGATCCACCTGAGAAAAAAAAGGAGATCATTTAACATTTAGCTGGTTAAAGTTCTTAGTTTCACAAGCATCAACTTGTACTATAGGTTTACCTTCAGCTTTTCAAAGTAATCACAACCCAAAAGCTGAGCTAAACTTAACAGCTTAGGGTAGTTGGTGTGGTGAGCCATCTCGTTCTTTACTAGCCAGTAAAGGCATTTGAATCCACCTATGACGGCCTCATGCTCCATAATAACTGTGGGCTCAAAAGCCTGCATCACTGAGTAGCCTAGACCAAGGGCAAAGACATAATTCATTATATGAGCCAAACATGGTTGATAGATTGCAGAAATTAGCTATACATTAAAAAAAATGATATACCTGATGCAAGTGAGACCTGATGCTTTACACTATATTGATGAGGCTCTGAGGAGATGTGGCGCTCAATATAATCCTTGCGGAAAACAAGAATCCCAACTTCTATGAAAGCCCGTTTTAAGGGGCCTTTCTTTACTGGAGGCTTGTGTTGCCTGCACATTCGGCAAAACATTCCTTTTAAAAAGAAAAACTTGTTAATTCTTACAAAAACTACGTTTTATTACAAATATGACCTTGCAAATGCTATTCATACCATGCTGGGTGAGGTAGAGCCAATTATTGAACTGTGGCATTTTGAGCCAGTGCTTGCAATCTGAAAATAATGCATTGGTATTACTGCATTTAAATGGTAGAGTTCTCCTTGCTATTAATACTATGTCTGTCTCTGTGAATGGGATGCTTGGAACTGTGCTGCTTGTTCACCTGCACCTGCTTCTACCACACTGGGACCTGCTGCTGCTTCTACCACACTGGGACCTGCTGCTGCTTCTACCACACTGGGACCTGCTGCCTCTCCCTCAGTACTCTGACTATTTGTGCCAGCAGCTTCACTGACCACCGGCTAGAATTGAAAACAAGCTTGAATCTAGTTTGGTCTCTGCATTGCAACTCACTGTTGACTGCACTTGTATAATTTCAGGTCAAAAGAACCGCCACATGTATTTATTGAGAATTATGCATGTATTATTGCCATTGCAAGCCAAATGCTAACATTGGCTAAGTTACCTGTGGTCTCTCCTCCTCTTCTCGTCTCTCCTCCTCACGCCGTATTCTCTTAAAATATTTTTGAATACTCATATCTGAGGAGTAAATGCAGGGGAAATTAACAGTCTAACGTTAGCTAAAGCTTATCTGTGTCCTTCTAACTGGCATAGCCCGAAGAGAAAACGAATTATAATTGTTTTTATATTTAATTTAGCACACGTAACTTGCACGCAGCAAAGTTGGCCTGGCTACATTAAATACACCCTTAGTTGCCACTTTCTTCCAAATAATTCTAAGCTCCTACTGTTAACTGTGATGGTTATTCTCGCGTCCAGGAAAGAGAAGCTTAAAAAGGAGACTAAATGGAGTCTCTGAGATGTTTTCAAATTGGTACTTTAATTAATAAAAAAGGCGCGGTAAAGTCACAAACAGGATATTTGTCCGTTGGAGAGAAAGTCTGCAGCTTCCTCTCCAGTTGCCGGCCGTGCAGAAGAGAGCGTACAAGCATTCGTCCTTCCCGCTTCCTCGCTGTTCGCTCCTCCTCTCTGTGAGCTGTAGTGACGTAAGGGACTTCCCCCTCTCGTTCGTCTGTGTCCGATATCGCGTTAAACAGAGGATTTCGACATTTTACATTCATTGCTTACTTCCACATGCCTTTTCTCCTCCTTATCTCTTTCATAACTTTATATGTAATACATGTTAACGGCGTCAATAGCCACTTTAATGATAATAATGGGCGGTAGTCCCGGATGTCGTCATGAAGGATTTTCAGAATAAAAGCTTGGTATTGAGAACTTCCGGTTTTTTCCAGAATAAAATAGCATTTAAACTGTCGGTATGTTTAAGGTACATTATGCCATAAAACATTGATTTTAATTTCTAACACTACCAAAGTCAGAAAACAACAACACAATAAGGAGAACATTAGTTGCTTTACCTTAGTGTCCGCGTCTTCTGAGTTAACGCAGTCGTCTCCGTTTCCCGTTTCCCTCCACGCGATGGCAGCGCGAACAGCAGGTGTGGAGCGAGGGATCATCCACTAGTTAATCGATCGCAGAGCGAACAGGTGGGGATTATTGTCCCCTAGTTAATCAATCGCAGAGCGAACAGGCACAGGAGGCGTAGAACGAGGGATCATTGTCCATTAGTTAATCGATCGCAGATGGCGTCGCAAGCAGACGGATACCAAAAAAAAAGGGTTGCGAAATATACTTGGGGCGGGCGTTAATATACCTGGGCGGCCCACCCAAGTATAGTCTATGTGTGGGAAACCCTGGATATATAGTTGCTGATCAAAAGCTGGAACACAAACCACCAAAAAAATAATTCAGATCCAGTCGTCATGACTCCACTCCGGAGGGATTCCCCGATCATTTCTTACAGTTTCTCATCAAGGGGGGGTCTCCTGTCCCCGGTACAAACACACTGCCTGAGGAAGGCTATATGTATTTTTTTTGTCATTAACCTTTTTCGGACCACTTATTTATTTATTTTGGTGACGATCCGACCTCCATGCTGCTACTCTGGTTCAAACTGCATCCACCAAACAATATGATATATCTCGACCTCCCCAAAAGAACCAAAATCTGACACGGTGTGAGTTGTCTTTTTTAGCTGTTCTGTCGTCATTTCCTGCGATCTTCTTCATAAAATCAGTCAGAATGAATGGGCGTTTCTTTGACTATTTATACATATTTGGCAAATATGGGCGTTACGTGAAGCCCGCAAAAGCTGCGCCGCATTTCGAGTCGATTGTGATTTATAAAGGGAAACAGACGTAGGAAGTGCCATACGCACTTCCCTCGCCGGTACGCAATGTTTTGTGAATCGGAAAATGTCGGAACATTTCTGTACCTATTTTTTTGCTTTGTACTACGTAAGCAACCTTCCCACGTGAATCCTACGCAAGGCGTTATAAATGAGGCCCCTGAGCTCAAGATTCACTATCAATAGAGGCTACTATTTATTTCAGTAAAAAAAACGTCAAGCAATACCTTTCATTTATTGTCTCATTCCGCTTGCCCTCTTTGGTTGTTTGTTAGAAGGTCTAATGTTATTAGATTAATTGCATTACAATTCAGTTACTGATTCCATCAACTAGTAATGTTAGCAGAGGGATAAAGTGTGAATCAAATCAAAAGTTGAGACTGTGTTTAGAAAATAGATAGGATGACACTGGAGAAATAAAAGCAATAAAGGAAATAAAATAAATTCAGACATTTATATCTGTATATTTTCCTCCCTTTTATTTTAGTCCAGAGGATGAGAGAGGGGATGCACAAGCCACTGTCCCCATCAGTAGGCCTCCTTCAAACCGAGAGGGGAAATAATGTGGCCAGGAGGGTGCAGCATCCAGAAAAAAGGCCAAACCAATGCCAGCCCCCCTGACAGTGAAAGGAAGAGGAAGAGGGAAAAAAACATCTCTGACCCCAGAAGAGCCAGGAGCTGTTTGGAACGGACCTGAGGTGCCAGATACTGCCACACTTTTGCCTGAAAAGAGCTCCTGGAGTCCAAGGTTTTGTTGGTGTGGAGTATACTCCTGCACAAATATTTAGAATTTGTTTTAACAACCAAGCTGTAAATATCATCTGCAAGAACACAAACAAAAATGCTGAAAAGGAGCAGGCTAAGGGGGAAAAGTTTGTTCGGGAAAGCCGGTAAAATTCCTCATGTATGTCGGCCTTATGATGTTCAAGGCACTTCTAAAACTTCCAAAAGTAAGAGACTACTGGAGGAAGGGATCACACCTAAGTGTTCTCTTTCCTGCTGCGGTCATGACAAGAGACAGGTTCATGGCAATCAGCAGAGCTGTACACCTGAGCGACCCAGACCATGATGAATGTTGATACATTTCCTTTGCTCTTTCTATATATTTCTAATACTTTGTTTATAGTTTCAAGATAATTTGCACTTTCTATATATTTCTAATACTTTGTTTATAGTTTGAATATAATTTACACTTTGTTAATTTGCACTTTGAATTTGTTTCACTGTTTGTGTTTGTATTTAAATGTTCAAATGATAATATATTTTTCTGAAACAAGTTATTTTTGTTGCAATGTCATCTGTTATAGTTTAATTTTTTACTCTCTCAACCTTTTTTTGACAGAAGAAACATGATCAGTCATTTAAATATGGAAATACATTTCGTTTGAATTATTCCATATTATCCTAGGCGTTTTTTTTTCACTGAAAAACGCCTAGGATAATATTGTAATAAATAGCTTTAACTTGCTCAGGGAACATAATATGCAGATTCAATTTCATTTGAAAGCCTAAAACATCTAAATGCAGCTTTGTAAATAATAAAAAAGAAAATTCCTATGTTCCTGGTGGAGTAAACAGTAAAAAAAAACACAACATTTGTACTGGCGTTTAAAATTCGGACTTTAAATTAACCAGACTTGAACTAGAGGTTCTCCTGAATCAAATGAGGTAAGGCACTTGATGCTGACTGCTAGAAAAGGTTAGAACAGGTTAGGAGAAACAAATAAATACAGGAGAGTCAGGCAGGCGAAAATTCCGTTTAGGTGTTTAAGGGTTAAAGGCAATGTGACATTCCCATTCGATAACGGAAAATTGTACACCCGGAAGTAAGTATTCTTCTTACTATCGATTGATTTGACAGTGATATCTCCACTACCCATCAACTCAAAAACACCAGATTACCTTTGTTAATTAAACGACATTGATAGGTTTAAATTGTGTTTACATAGCTTTTGTGTTTTTCCCCTTAAATTCTGAGAAACAACTTGTTTTCTCTGAAATGTGGAGCGCCAAAGAGACTACACTACCCACAATCCCCAGCTATTGTTGTGACGACACCTGTCCGCTTTGCGACAAACCACATGATTAATCTTCAAGCTCTGGGATTGGATGTTGGAGTGGCAGTGCGCCAAGGTTACGCCGAGCGTCAAGCTCTTTGAAATGGAACGAAACCACGGCAGACTATTCAAAACTGGACTCGAGCGCCCCCCGAGAACTACACATGCTGGCTATTGTGTTTCGCAACATGTTCTCTATGGCACGTCTCTACTGGGAATTGTAGTTTTAAAAGACGTTTTCGGTTTTCCCAAAATTAGAAGTTGCCAGTATTAAACTGTGTACAGCCCTGGAGGTTTAGGCGATAGGAAACAAATTGGTGTGTACACATTTAAAACATGTAATTACTAAATGGGTGAAAATCGCTTGTATCCATAATGGGCAGCATTAATATATACCCACATGACAGCTCATTGTTACTTTGTAATTCTACTCCACTACAATTCAGAGGTTAACAAATAACATTATTCAACAAAAATAATTAAATAACGTGCTTTAACCACTAGGTGGTGCACACAGCATACTCATAACGTTGAATTATTAGTAGGGCTGTCAAGTAAACTCGTTAATAACGCGTTAACGCAAAAAAAATAACGCCACTAATTATTTTAACACGATTAACGCATGTGTATTTTTTTCCGTAATTTCAGAGCGCATCGAGTTTAGACCATCTACAAGCTGATGCTGACAGCCCCGCTCCTGCTGCCTGCTTGCGGCAGACCACACTTCCACGCTCACCGGCAGGCACCGACTGGCCATCGAGAGGACCGGGAGGTTGTGTGTATGTGTGGCTCGAGCGAGAGAGAGACCATACGTGTATTGTTGTTGTTAGCATCTGGTGCTAGCTAGCTGCGCTAACGGATATAAGGAGCTGTTTAAATGAAAACAGAGGAGCGACATTTCGCCGACAACTGCGCCGAGCACTTGACTTTATGCAGGCAGCCAGACAGTGGAACATTGTACGAAAAGTCAGCACACTCAGCAAGGATAGTGCGCGTAACATGATTGCAGCGTCCAGGCAGCTTGAGTTGCACATAGCTCCAACGATACGAACACACACACACACACACACACACACACACACACACACACACACACACACACACACACACACACACACACACACACACACACACACACACACACACACACACACACACACACACACACACACACACACACACACACACACACACACACACACACACACACACACACTTTGTATTGTATTATTGAATGAGAGAGGTTCCAGGTTGAATTGAGGCGAATATGTGTAATGTTCAGAGGTTGTTGGGTTGTCATTGTTCAAACGATAATAAACATTTGCATAAAGCATATTTGTCCACTCATATGTTGATAAGAGTATTACAAACTAGAAACATATTCCTCTAAGGTAAATTTAGAACAGATAAAACAAATTTTAATTTTAATTTGCGATTAATCGCGATTAACTATGGACAATCATGCGATTAATCGCGATTAAATATTTTAATCGACTGACAGCCCTAATTATTAGTGTAGGACACTTATGTATTAATCAATCAATGTTTATTTATATAGCCCAATATCACAAATGTTACATTTGTCTCAGTGGTCTTCACAGTGTGTACAGAATATCAGTATGACAATACGACACCCTCTGTCCTT